ACAGAAGCAAAGCCCAAACCACACCCACTGCCCTAGAGTCCATTCTGACCCACAGCGCCCCTAGAGGACAGAGTGGAACTGTCTCCAAGGCTGCCAGTCTTCGGGGAGGCAGACTTCCTCATCTTTCTCCCGCGGAGCAGCTGGTAGGTTCAAACCACCTACCTTTCTGTTGGCAGCCGACTGCTTTAATCACTGTGCCACCCCAGCTCCCTCTTTATACCTTAGCTATAATTTATAAACATTCCTCTATGCTGTTTTTGTTAGGTGCCACTGGGTTGGTTCAGACTCAAATGACGGGTACAACAGCAGGGAACAGTGCCTGGCCCCGCGTCACCCTCACCATCATTGGTACAGCCACTGCGGTAGCAGCCTGGTGAGGAGCTTCCTCTCTCTCACTGACCCTCTACTTTGCCAAGCAAGATATCCTCCACCAGGACGGTCCCTCCTGATACAGGGACCAAAGCAGGTGACATGAAGCCTCCCCATCCACGCGTCGAAGAGCGTTCCGGGTGCGGTTCCTCCAGGACAGACTCTTCATTCTTTTCTAAGGAGCATTCCGGCCGTGGTTCCTCCAGGACAGACTCCGTTCTTTGGCATCCACAATCTACTTAGTATTCTTTGCCAATACCATGATTCAAAGGCAACCACTGACTCTTTTGTACCAACTCAATATTAAGAATTTTAAGGAGCGAGGTTTTTAAAATCCTTTAAGGGTAAGTAGAAAGTATTTTACTAAGAAAGACTGAGAACTGCAGATACCAGACAACAGTCTCATAAACTGCACAGAAGTCCCGGCGACGAGTACAGCTCCACACGCTCCTGGCCTGTGCCCACGGTTACAGGACTCTGCAGTGCAGGTGGCCTTCAGTGAGGAGATGCCTGGCATGTGGCCTCTGTGAGGGGCTACTGCCTGTGCTTCTGGCCTGTGAACCCGAGGGAAGCAATGGTGTCAAGTCCCCTTCTCTCCATGAAGATCTGGGAAAAGTCGTCCAGTCTCACTCCCGAGCACTGGCGGGGGGCCCTGCCCGCACTCTAGGTTCAGGAGAAGCATCCGGACGCGCGTCTGGTTCTGCAGTGGACAGACGCCATGAGGGGTGAACGGCTGCACCATCCACTGACTAGGCCCTAGGGGGGCCCAGAGCGGCCAGAGGCAGGCAGCACACATGCACTGAGCCACGCACCGCAGGTTGTCTCCTGGGGGGGATGCTCGGGGGGGCAGCAGTGCCGCCGCTGGTCCAGCTCTGTGGCAGGTACCTGGGCCTCAAGCCTTGTCACGCAGCCACGGTCCCTGCTGCCTGCCTGAGGCCGAGGCACGGCTCCCCAGCAGCTAGGGCAGATGCCAGAGGGTGGAGGGCACCTTTGTCCCAATAGGTGTATCCCTCTCAGTGTCCAAAGGGGGACAACTGGCAAACCGAGGAACATTAGATCCACCTGTTCCTCAGAAGGCACCAGGTGACACCAGTCCTTGTGATACTAAGTCAAACATGAGGGTCAAAGGGCAAACATGACAGCTGGCTACCCATCACTTGTAGCTGGGGTCCTCCTCAGCTACTTGGCTGTCCTCACCCACTAACGCCAGGGGGAAGGTGCCTGCAAAATGCTCTCAAAGCAAAAGTACACCCCAGAGCTCACAGTTGGGGTTCAGACTGCATCTGGCCTGTTTTAGGGTTCGTAGCATTTACAAATCCAAGTGTTTAATTATTAACATTAAAACTCAAATATTAGGAACATTGCCAAATACACTTTAAACTGCTTAAAGCAAACCAAATGTCATCCTGACCATCCTTACTCTGATGTTAATGTTGAACCTGTGGCCCCAACGAAGACAGAGCCCGGCCTTTCGCCTGTGACACTGACCTTCACAGAGGCACCACCAAGGAGGGATCGTTCCTGCTGCCACTGCTTCCGGAAGCAACAACAGCCCCATCTTCCAAGGCAAGGGCCTCCAGTGCTCACTGCTTGCTTACCCCTTCCCCTTCCACACTGTCCACCCCCACCCATGGTGCCCACATACCCACTCCCCTGCTTCCCCAGCAGCCACTCACCCATGGCGCCCACGCACTCCCTCTCCTTGCCCCTGCCCAGCGCCCGCCC